ATTCCACGCAAACACATCCGCTACGCCGTTTTTTGAAGCAAAGTGAGAGTCGCAGTATTTTTTCACATCCAGATAACCGCCTGGTGCAGAAGACGTATGTAGGGTAACTGTCGGCACGTAAAGAGTGCCTAACATATATCTAAACGATTTCTAAGTATTTTAATCTCTTTTTAAAGCTCAAGTCAAAAAATAGAAGGGAGTACAAATTAAAGCAATTGCTGCAGCAGTTCAGCCACCTGTAGACGTCCTCTGGATATGTATGCAAATGGCGAAAACTGCTATTTTCGTTTTATAATGAAGAATATCCGTGATTTTTGAAGGTGACAGCATTAGGCCGTATGATAGAGCAAGTGTGGCCTGCACCGAATAATGTATTTAGCTTTTTACGAAGCATGTAGTCCGCATGCCTTACTAACGCGGCTATCAAGAGAAGGTGCATAGCAGTTTTCGTAAACGAATTCATTTGTTGCTCACCGGAATAAATTAGACCATTTGCTGACTTTTCGGACATTTGTGCCTGGGGAACTTTGTCGAAGCGCATAATGACTTTAGTGATCAACGATCGATTATTCTCTGATCGCTGTTTGGTCGTGCGTGTGGACTTAGGCTTAGCGTGGCGGTTGTTGATATTCTGTTTAGTCCACACGGTAGAGGGTGCTGGTAATCCTGCTCCCTGTTATGGTGGTGTTGTCACAGTGCCCTATTCGTGTGCAACTACTGACTTAATTTTTTTCCGTATTCTGTGCTTATCGTACGTAATAGGGTAAATATTTGTAGACCGCAGGGAGATGGAGATGCCTATTCACGGAGTTCACATATGCCCACCACTACTCAAGTGGCAATCTTTCAGCTTTTACGGTTCCTAGGCCAAGATTGGTCGTTATTTGAATTTCTATGTCTGCATTTTGCGCCCTGTTTCTCAAACATAATCACAGTCACCATCATCACAACGTATTCTGTAGGCAACTGCAGGGTTTTCAGTAGGAGGGCACTGTGCCTTACGTTTTCATCCCACGGCAGCCTACTGTCGTCATCTACTGATGGGCCATACGTATGCCAGTGTGTCGTAACAGACAAGAGACTGCTTTGGTTAAGACTTTGGGTTACTTTTTTTCATGCATTTAGTTCGGTAGATGGAAGATCTCGGATAACCATTAGGTCGAACACCTTCAAGTAGATGGTGCCGCTTCATAGCTTTTTGGAAATGTGTAGGAACGCAAATAGAGTAGATTAACTAATTCTTTAGATACGAAGAGTTTTACAAGTAATTTGCTCTTACAAAAACACAGCCATAGCAGCTTCCTGCAAGGTCGCACATCAATAAAGTAATGGCCGTTCTTACAAATATGGCATATTATAATTTATGAAGGAATATAAATTTCATAGAAATACCAGCGTTTTTAGCAAAATGGAAAATTCCCAAAAGATGTAAATCGGGCATAGAATTCAGAGTTAAGTTTTGCAAGTGCAGAAAGCCCGCTCAATGGAAAGTACCGAGTGCATAAAAGTAAAATAACTTTTTGGAAAGATTTTTGGATGCATATGCTTCCATACGATGTGTAACTTAATGTGTGTCTATTAACGAACAGCCTTACATTCGACTATGTATTCCAACACGTATTTACGACAACTCCTACTTGTTTCTTTCTTTTCTGCATAGTTTTATTGATGATGGACTAAGACAATCCCGTTTTAACTGGACACGACCCATTGGGAGAGCATCCGCGTGGTAAGTTACCGATACAGTACATGGTATTGGAAGGTGCAATTTTAAACGTAGCACATTTCGTACGCTAATATAAACTGCCTTTCGCCTCCTTTTTGTAATTATGTCTGGGATTTTGATTGCGAATATATTTAGATTTTCCCTGACAAGCTAATAAAAACTTTACGATTTTCACGAGCTTCAGACAAATGACCACAAATAATGATTATAATTCCGACATATGTGTACACCGATCATATGCAGGGCACGCCTGTCCTGGTATTTTATCCCCTGCATATGATCGGTGTACGCATATTTACTAATCTATCTCCCTAATCAAAAACCGGCAAAAGGTCGAGCCTGACAGCTTACTGGTTAGGGCGTTCTCCCCTGACCAGCAAGACGCGGGTTCGAATCTCTATTAAGGCGGCAACTTCCGCGAGT